CCCACGACCGAGATTTTGCCTCGGCAACTGCCACTGCTGCACCCCGCTTGGCTATCTGGTACCTGTCTGCTGCCTCCGGAGACCCACAGACCAGCCACGCCCTGTAGGCCTCCTTATTCAGCCTGACGGCTCCCCGAACCTCTGGTGTCCACCAGCGGGTACGGGGGTTGCCACCACGACTGGCACCGGCCACCATGCGACCACAGCTAGCAACAGCCGCCTCAACAATCGCAGAGTGGAACAAGGCCCACTCGGACTCAATGTCCCCCACTGCTCTCGGGACACGGTCAAAGCGCTGCCGGAGGTGGGAGTTGAAGACCGTCTTAACAGGTTCTTCTGCCAGGCGTTCCCAGCAGACCCTCAATATGCGTTTGGGTCTGCCAGGTCTACGCGGCATCTTCCCCTGCCATCTGATCCAACTCACCACCAGGTGGTGATCAGTTGACAGCTCCGCTCCTCTCTTCACTCGGGTGTCCAAAACATACGGCCGCAGGCCAGATGATACGACTACATAGTCTATCATCGACCTGCAACCTAGGCTGCCCTGGTACCAAGTGTGCCGATGGGCATCCTTATGTTCGAACATGGTGTTCATTATGGCCAAACTGCGGCTTGCATTGAAGTCCAATAACGAAACAGTGAACTCCACTCGAGTTCAGGTCAGGCGGCCGTTCCTCCCAATCACACCCCTCCAGGTCAAGCTGTCATTGCCCACGTGGGCATTGAAGTCCACCAGCAGGACAATGGAGTCCCCTGATGGAGCACCAACTAGCACTCGTCCCAGGGACTCCAAAAAAGGGTGGGTCCTCTGAACTGATATTTGGCCCATAAGCACAAACAACAGTCAGGAACCATTCCCCGACCCAAAGGCGCAGGAAAGTTACCCTGTCGTCCCCCGGGGTAAACCCCAACACACAGGCAGAGAGTCTTGGGGCTAACAAAAAGCCAACCCCAGCCCTCCGACTCTCACCCGGAGCAACTCCAGCAAAGGAGGACTTGTAAGTCGCTTTGGACAAAAGTGTCTGCTAAATACCTAAACATAATAACAACACAATAAAAAGTAAGATGGGTTGTGTAAAAGCTGCTATTTTTAACACATTTTTAGGTTCGACGTGTTGCTACCAAACGCACAGTGTGAGCTGAAACTGAGTGCTACAAACGAAAAAGTTGCACAGTGTCCGTAGAATATATAGCGGACCTCCGACTCTGCTTGCAGAAGTGACATTTACATGTGGATGTTTCCTGGTAAGGTGCTGCAGCATCGAGGATGTGGTGTTGTCAGGGTTTTCCTGCATTCAAATTTGCGTGGCGGCCGCCTCCAGCTAATTTTGTGCCGCCTCAGCCAGATTTCACTCTGCCTCCAACTATATGGATGTTATTTTAACTGCAGTTGCAGTGTTGCGCCACTACCAGGGCGCTGTATCAGCAGCGGTGCACCGAAAAGTACTAAAACCGCTGCAGACAAAGATCAAAAATTTCTTTTCTCGCTAGTTGGTACATATCTATGGTTGGCGCTATTGACGTCCTGATTTTCCCCCAGGCTCTTCCATATCGGAGCAGGGCTGTAAAGTGCGACAAAAAAACTGTTTGTGCGTGTCTGTCTATTTTTAAACGTAGCACTGGTGCAACATCTTTGAATTTCTATTTTCCCCAGAACTTTATTCAACAAAAATAAGTTACGTGTAAGAAAAATGCTTTTTACTGGTGCGCAGTGTGGTCATCTGGATGCAGTGGAGGAAAATAAAGGAACCAACAAAGGCACAAAGGCAGAACCGGTCCAAAGTTTTGGATCAAAAGTGCAGCTTCACGCAGATTGGCTAATGCTAAAGCTAATGGGTAGCAGTGTCACGATCAAGTGGCGCACAGAAAAATAGATGATGATTGTAAAACTAAGAAACACTAAACTCTACAAGTGGATGAAAAGTCCCCACCATCCTGTTTACTCTGCATCCTACTATGGATCAGAACCGCTGCACACAGAAGCAGGAAGTACAGCAAGCTGTTGTAGTATATAATTCACAAACGCTTCCATCTTTGAACATAATTTGAGCTGGATTATTGCCAACCCGTAGACATGCCACCATTACATTGTTGGCAGCAGAAATTAAATATTACCGTTTCCAACACAAATGCATGTTAATGAAATGTATTATATTTTACTGCATATATTTATGTGTTACTATGACTAAGATGAGTGTTATTAATACAAACTTTAATTGTTACAGAAATGTAGGTCAAAAATTAAATAATATTTTTAACTATAAATATCAGATGGGAAAAGGGGAACTAATAGGGCTGGGGGTAAATGATTATTTAAAATGATTATTCTGATGATTATTTTATCGAATAGTCGACTATTCTAATGAATATTTAGACAATTAATTAGGGCTGTAACGATTCCTCGAGTACCTCGAATAATTCGAGTACAAAAAAGCCTCGAGTCAAATTCTCTGACTCGAGGCTTTGTTTAATTCACATTTAATTAATTTGTGGCTTGCAATCGCCCGGGGTCATGTTTCACCCGGACTGAAATAAGTGACGCACATGCCCACTGGACTGAATGCACACGCGAGTAGCGAATGTAACTTAACTTTCTCTTAAGCCATGGCGGACAACGTGGACCCCGGTGGAGTGCGAAAAAGACACAAAATGTCAAAGGCGTGGGACCATTTTTCACGTCGTAAGGCGGAAAACGTACTCCAGTATAAATACTGTAAAATGGATTTAGCCTACCACAACACCACATCCTCCATGCTGCAGCACCTGTAAATGTCACTTCTGCAAGCGGACTCGGAGCCTCTACAAGATAATGCATTTTTGCCTGTATTTCTGTATATTCTGCGGACACTGTGCAACTTTCTCGTTTGTAGCACTCAGTTTCAGCTCACACTGTGCGTCTGCTAGCAACACGTCGGACTTTTTATTGTGTTATTGATATTTGTTGTCCCTCGGGATTGCTGCAGGAGGACGGGTATTTATGAGTGGCGGAGGAAAACGAAAGAAAGTAAATAAATGTTTTGTGATCAGTATAATTTGACAAAACCACGGCAAACATGCTTTCTCGACAGTCCTTGTTATTGTGTGAGAAAAAAAATGTAGAAATTAAAACGGACGTGTGTTAATAGGGAAACAGCTGGCGAGCTGTTTGCGCATGCTCCGTGAGCGGTTCTGGTTCTGTTTGGGCCGCAGACGCTCGCAGCGCTACTTCAATAGTTATCCTCCTAGTTTTTGCCTGGCTTGCCGGGTTTGCAGATTCTCGCACGAGGGGAAAATCGGCCCAGGTTGTATGCTTATTTTTTGCACAGACATTTGTTTACTGTGAAGTAAAGTTGAAGTGCTGAAGTTTTGAAAACTAATTTTGAATAAAACTTGAAGAATAACTGGCAATTGCTTGCTCTTTTTAAGAGGTATTTCATATTTTATAACATGCTATTTGATATAATGGTTCACAAACACAAAAGGGTCATTTATTAGAGTACTCGAATAATCGATAAAAGATTCAATAGAGTACTCGATTACAAAAATATTCGATAGCTGCAGCCCTACAATTAATCTAATGATTATTCTTCTATTGCAGTTAATAAAAAAACAAAAAAAAATCTAATAAATTCCTCAAAGAAATTGATAAATTGTTACTGTAAGAGAATAAACACTACAGGCCTTCCATTTTGTATAACACTGCTTTTATTGTGTTGGTTGGTTATGTTCTGGTGACGTGTAGAACTTGGGAGTGCAGGCTGCTGCCTGAGAGGTGGTTGGAGACGGAGTGTCTCCATGCTGCTTTGTTTTGGTCACTTATGAGCGTGAGGCGAGTGGTGTTACGACTCTTCCTGGGGAGTTTGGATCGTGTGCAAAAAGGAAGGGACAATAACGGGATTTAAAAGTTAAAATGATGATCAGGTTTATTTACAACAATAACAAAAAATCATAAATCTTTCCATCCACAGGTTGGGAATAATAAAACTAATTCTGCCTGTGGGGAATTAAAACAAAAGTACTAATAAGTAGGGATGTCCCACTGGGCAGAGATTACTGGGTTCTGGACCAAAATAAGGATCTCCAAAGGTCCAAACTCTAAACTGGGTGGTTAAACCAAACTCAGGTGATATTTTACACTAAACCAAAAACCCACAACACTCTAAATGTAATAAAAGGGAGATCTGCACCACAAAAAGGATGAACTCTAAACCAAAACGTAACAGCTTATCCAAACGCAAGAAGCTGTTAGCGAAAATGCTAACAGTAGCTTTACCAACGTTAAGTTCAAGTTACCAAGTTTAAATAAACCAAAAACACCCAGCAGCAAACAGACCAGCACGGAGGAGAGACTGCTACCACCAAAACAGCTCTCCTAATGTCTGAAAGAAGCTCCTTTATGAAGGGAGAAACGCTCCCGGTGATGTCCTACATCTGCGGTAGAGACGGAGCAGCGCATCTGACCCCGGAAGTTGTTGCCCGTTGCCGGGAGACGAAGGCGGGCAAAACAGGAAAGGAATCTAGTAGCGGACGGACATTGTTCCGGGTCTTCGGTAGAGATGTTAGTGAAGGCGGAGAGGAGGGGGCACTAGAGGAAAAACAGGCAGATTCCTCCTCCATTTACAAACTCCTGGGGATGCAACATGTGGGCGTGGTGCGTCGACTACCGGATCTGACGGCGACGAATTTTTAGAATTGAGCCGTCGACGTCATCGTGGCTTCGCTACAGCCCTAGGAACTAAGCACTAATCTAATGCATTTTCTTTACTAAACTCCCCAAAATAGCTGTTCTGTTTGTGGCAGGAGGACAGTCTGTACCTAGAGAGGGAAGACTGTTTGCTGCTAAATTAAATGGTCAATTGTAGAAGAGCCCATTTAGCCAATCAAGAGGCAAGAAAAGCGGGGTGTTCCTTGACCCTATGGTCCCAATATTTGCTACCAAGAATGGTTTAAAAATGTGGTACTGCCTTTGGAACCTTGGGGGTAAGCGTGTTCTGATCAAAGCAACATACTACGCTCCTCACCTGGAACATGTTGTCGCTGCCGTTCCCGCTGCTCTTGGCCGAGCTGCTCGGCTTTGAACTCTCTCCACTCTTGGCTTTCTTGGCTGGTTTCTCGGGTGTCGTTGACTTTTTTCTCTTTGCCTGTAGAGAAATTACAGGTCACACGTCAACTAAAGTAATTTGTTTACAAGACATGAGTCAATAACAGTCCTGTTTCTGTAGTTATGTGGTGGAACGTGTTTCAGTCACCTCAGACAATTAGATTCCATCTATGCCTGTCCAAAAATAAATCTCTACCCTATCCCTGATGACAGCCTTTAAATTTAATAAACACTTCTCCTAAATCAATCTCTTCACCTGCCCCTTGGACCCTTTGCCATCATCATTAATAAAATCATGTCTTCCGTGCTTCACTCCACTTATCCTGCAAATTATCAACTCATTGCTGAACTCCGGAGCTGCCCCTTAAGCATTCAAGCTTTCTGCCATTAAACCAGTAACCCAAAAACCCAAAGTTGTTTCAAGACTGCTGTAATTTACTTGGAATTCAGTCTCATTGTGACTAGCTGTTAGCACATTTATCGGGTCTCCTTCTGCTAACAGAGGTTGCTCAAAGAGCTCCCAACAACAGGTAAGGCTTGGATTACAGATATTTAACCACAAGCTTCAGAGCACTGCACCTGCACTGCATTGACTCAAATGGTAGACAGCTGGTTAACATCAATTGACAACTTCATGCTAGTGGGTTCAATACGATTAGATTTCACTGCTGCCTTTGACGTGATCAACCATGGAATTTTGATTTCCAAACTAATTAGTTATGGTTTTACCTCCTCTGCTATTAAATGGTTTAAATGCTATTTGTCAAGGAGATTTCAAAGAGTTTATTTTAATGGTGCACTATCTAATAGTGAGCCCCTGCAATGTGGTGTTCCTCAAGGAAGCTGCCTAGGGCCTCTGCTATTTTCGATTTTTTCTAATGATATGCCGTATGTACTAACGAAGGCTAAACTGACGAGGTTTGCTGATGACTCAACTATTTCTCAGCCTCATCCCGAGTGCTGGTGCCCACTTCCAATTTTAAACTGCACTTGCCAAGGGCTGTGCGTGCAAGTGGTGCGGTGGCATCAGCTAGCATAGGCCAGGCAATGCCCGCACACCACAGCCATGGAATACACCTCATCAACACACAACACTATATTGGAGCAGGCGGAGGGAGACTAGGGGTCTTAGCACACCTGTTATTGCTTGGCTTCCTGGGGCTGGAGGCTAGGAGGGAGATCTGGCTGTCTGGTTGGGGTCTGGGGTGGTGGGTTGCTGTGCTCAGCGTTGGGCGGGGGAGCCTGCTCATCAGCACCCCAGCAGAAAGGGTCAAACTCTGGTAACCGGTGATGGTTGTACCCCATGTGCAGCAGTACCGGGACCAGAGTGAATAGGGTGTGTATGGGGAGCATGAGTGGGTGTCCGGCCTGCATTTTTGTAAGTCTTCGGTTGTATGTGCATGTGTGAGTATGAGGGAGGGAATGTGTGACTGTGTTTGTGTATGACTATATGTCAGGTGGGGCCTTTGACTCCTCTCTTCTCCTGGGACTTCTTTTGATGATATAGATCTTCGTCTCCCCTCCCCCTGCCACACCTGGTGTGGAGTGTGGTGCCTTGGTCTGCCTGAGTGTTCGTGGCTCCCGGGTCAGGGGGTTTACGATTTTTGGCATCTGCCTGGTCAATCCCGGTGGCGGCCTGGTGGGGTCTGGGTTCCTGGGCTCTGCTGGGTCCCCGGCAGGGGTGGTCGCCCCTGGGTCCCGGGTAGCTGGGTCCCGGGTCCCGGGCTCGGCCGGCTAGGGGGTGGGAGGTTGCGGGCGGGCCTGTGGGCTTGCCGCTGATATCTCCCGGGACTCTGCCGGCTGCTGGTTGTGGCCCCCCGGGACGATCCTCTGTGCCTCTCAAGGGGGGGGGGGGGCTTTCTGGTTGCAGTCTCCTTGGGGTTCCTGTGTTCTGGGGCAGCGCCTGGATCTCTGGGACTTGGAGCTCCCCCCGTCTCCTACACATCTTTGGGGGGCAGATCTGTGGTCCCTCACACTCTCTAGTGGAAGCTTTTATAGAGAAGCCTTTCATAAACAAGCGCGTGTACACACACAGGTGCTCACATGGTGCTCTCAAAAGTATGGGCTTGGGCACGTTCAACACATGTCGTTGCCACTAAATGCACTATGATTTATTATCGTGTGATTGTTCAGTTAAACAATGTTGATTTTATATTTCATCATCAGGCTGATGCAGTATCTTGCTCCTGATGTAGGGTTAGGGTTAGTGCACCTCTAAGTGCACAGCTGCTAACTATCTAAATGTGTTTCATCACAATATTTTTCTTGCGCTGTAATGAACAAAATGGGACATTTATGTTTCAGCGAGCCTTTTCACCATGACTGATTTGGACTCGAATGCCGGCTCTGACACAGAGGAAACTTTAAATGTTTAGATTCTACTTCTGATGGACCAGAACCATAAAGTTATGAGTTTGCTGCACGCCCCTGAGAGCAGAGATAAACCAGAGGGAGAAACCATCGGCCAAAGCAGAGATTGTGGAGAAGCAGCAGGAGAGGAGCAGGTGAGTTAACCATGCTAGCTTAAACTCATGTGCTAACATCACAATATTGTACAGATTATTATCATGTACCAGACAATTAAAATAGTATTGGCCAGTTAATATAATATGATTACTAATGAGTGTCTGTCAGCTGTCTCGTACTCGTTAATATCCGTTCACATAACGTAGTTTAGCACTTAGAGAGAGGGAGAGAGACGCCTGTGATCCAGTTCTGGAGCTCATGCAGGCTTCTGTGAGCTGGATCCGATCCAGACACCAGCGAGCCAGTAGAGCTGATATTTTTAAAGGCCGCACATTCTCTCCTGGTGGCCCAGGCGGCGGTTTTGATCCAGTTCTGACCTGGAAACCAGCTGGTGGCCGTTTCTGATGGTGATCTGAGCTCCAGAAATCCACATTTCATTTTTTAATCCCCACCACGGGTCTCCGGAGCCCGGCGCGGACCTCCCTGTCCAGGTACCGCTCGATGTGGGCAACAGAAGTCTGTCGTTTCAGCTGCACAGGCAAATGCATGGCGATAGAGGCGTTTCTACTATCTAGAAACCAGTGGACTCGATGCCCAGACAGGCTGGAGTTGGTACAGCCTTCACAAACTATAGTTTATCATCGTGAACACAATCCAACACTAGTAAGCACACACACTGACTGGATAACATGACCGCTCTACCCTAAAACTACCCACTCTCCACACTGAGCTGAGGCAGCGCCGAGCTTCTATCCCTTTGGTTACATCAGAGGTTCAGATTTAGAAAAAAATAGCCTTTTTAGAAGCTTTACTGAGAAAGGCCACTTTTTACTAGAAAACTCTGCTCATGTACACTCAACAAAAATATAAACGCAACACCTTTGTTTCTGCTCTGATTTTTCATGAGATGGGCTTAAAGATCTAAAATTCATTACAGATACACAATATCACCATTTCTCTCAAACATTGTTCACAAATCATTCTAAATGTGTGATAGTGAGCACCTGTGCTTTGCTGAGATAATCCATCCCACTTCACAGGTGTGCCACATCAAGATGCTGATCTGACATCATGAGTAGTCCACAGGTGTACCTTATACTGCCCACAATAAAAGGCCACCCTGGAATGTGCAGTTTTTTTGCTTTATTGGGGGTCGGGGGACTCAGAACCGGTCAGTATCTGGTGTGACCGCCATTTGCTTCATGCAGTGCAACACATCTTCTTCGCATAGAGTTTATCACATTGTCAATTGTGGCCTGTGGTTAAATTATGACACGTCTCACCTTTATGTTAATATTGTTTTATTTCATGCTCCACTTTGAACTACACCAATCCAGCAACTGCTGCATTTTAATAACTAGTATTAAAGGTGAATACAGCAATATTTGCACAAGAATAATTTCTGTTTTAAACTCTCAGTGACACACTTTGCAGGGGGGTTGGAATTTAATTTTTCTTGGCGTTTGGAAAAACGTCTCCTTCTGCCCCCCTTTATTTGACTTTCTGCCCCCTTTATTTTGGTCCAAGATCATTACTGGGCTGGCCCTATTAAACATGTTCTACACCCCTGCTTAGCAGACTTAATAAAGTATTTTTAGACCAGTATAAAAATGACTGAAACACAAATTTACATATTTGGCATTATTGACCAATACCTTTGATGTAATTTATTTGTTAAGAACATCAAGATGCATTACAGTGAACATTATAATAAAGTACATGTTTCTAGTGCAGATTGGAGACAACCCATAGAAGCACTGGTCTGATCTCATTTCAGAGAAAAATAGAACAGGTCAGATGCACCTAATAAATAAAATTACTAACATAAACTCAGGAATCTGTTTCTTTGCTTCATCGTTCTGGTACTGAAAATATCACTAACGTGGATCAAAGGAGATACACAGATGAATGCACCTTATTATTTGGAAATTAGTGGGTGTGGTTTACATCAATACATTATTTTAAATCTGAAATTGATATGGATTGATCAGAAGTTGCTATGTATATTGTTTATTTGAAAATTGAGATTAAATATTTTTGATCACAATAGTAAAGGAAGTATTACAGAACAAGTTTTTCAGTAAAATCAGAACATTAATATTCAAGTGCATGAATTAATACACCTGAACTCATGCAGCAGGAACTAGGAAATATGAAATATTAGAACCATTTTATTTTAATTTGATCAAACTGATTTTTTCCTAACGTTGTTGGCATTTTTACCACACAGTTAAACAAAACAATGTTGATTAAGGTATGTGTGAGAGGGAGATAGAGAGAGGGAGAGAGAGTTAAAGGTGCCATTATATAAAAATTCTATGTACTTGTATTTTAAATGGCCCGCAACAAAAAATTTGAATTAATTAATTAAATCGATTTATCGCCTAGTCATAATATAAGCGTGCTGTCTTATTTGCTGTTTGTTTTGTTTATAAAATTTATTTTATTGTTTTGTTTTATTATTTGACAAAGATTTTGTAATATAGTGTGTGTAATGTAAGTGTTTTAAATGTTTTATTTGGATCCCAGGACGACTAGCTGTCGAGTATCCGTCAGCCAATTGTGTTCTTTTTATAAATAGAGCAGTAGGGCTGTCACGGTTGAGGAATTCCCCCTGCGGTGATTCAGGGTGGCTTAATATTGCGGTGTGCGATATTATTGCAGCCCTTTTTTATTGCAGTACTATCTAAACATAATGTTTACACATTTAAAAAAGGTTAAAAATTGCCGTGCCTTCTTTAATAACACTTTACTGAATGCAGATCAAAGGGCAGTAACCACACAGATCGCAGGAACGCTTGTTTCTCCGACAGTCGGAGTCCGACTGAACTTAAAAACAACTAAATTCAGGAGGTTAAACTTTTAAATGCAAATTTGGCTGCAGCATCTAACAAATAAGAAACAAGTCCCCATTTTGTTTAGTTGTTTAAAATCAAGCATGAAAAATTACATGTGCCGGGTGCGTGCGCGCGCCGGGGGGCGGGCACACTATCATTTCACTTTCACACACACGAATGACGGTGATTTATAGCTCGGTCACGTCCTTGTTACCCACAAGGAAAACCAGCATGTTAACCATATACGGTTTGAGAGAGGATCTGAGAGGGGCGGCAACATTTGCAGCAACACTGAAAACCCTCTCGGATGGTGCGCTCGTTGCACTAACGCACACGTACTTGCGTGCGACTGGCGAGCAAAGGGAATCTCTCCCGGTTGTTGCTCCACCATGTCAGGGGGGTTCTTTAGGGTGGATGCATTCCTCCTGCAGGTAGCGAGTGAGCTCCAGCTCGGCTCAAACTCTCTTCGGGACGGTTGCAGAAGCAGTGCTTGACCGGGACTTCAGCAGGTCTCCGAGCGTTTATTATTTATTTATTTTTGCCGCTGGTGGCAGCTCTGTCTCGGCCAAGGACTCTGGCTGCGCAGCAGCTGACGTACTGAAAACCAAAGTGCTCCCAAAGGAGCGAAGTAACGTTTCGTTTTGATACCAGTGCAGCCATCCTTCTCAACATGCATCATTGAGTTGAACCAAGTTCAGTAATCGCGGTGGCGCATGATGCAGCGCGGTGGGCTTCTTCATATCGCGATATTTCATTTTTGCGGTTACCGCGACAGCCCTATAGAGCAGTGGACTACAACTTAAATAGTATAAAGTTCTTCTACCTGTGTGTGTGTGTGTGTGTGTGTGTGTGTGTGTGTGTGTGTGTGTGTGTGTGTGTGTGTGTGTGTGTGTGTGTGTGTGTGTGTGTGTGTGTGACAAGTACACAGAATAAACACACAAGTCAAAAGTTAGAGGCACAAACCTTTGTCTCTACTTCACTGTCAGAGTCACTTCCAGATGTGGAGGACAGCACTTCCTTTGATTTGGGCATTCTGCTGACAAGAGGATCAAAGGTCAGACAGGTCCACCAGAACCGACTCACTCTTAAAGCCTTTAGACACAGAACTTCCAGCTCCATGTTGAAGAGCCGGTTTATTTTAGACACGCCCAACTGTAAAAGTTCTTTAGCAGGTGGGATTTTAAGGGCAAATGGTAATATTTGACCTGTTTGGGCTTGATAGATGTCAGCACAATCAGTTTTACTTTGTGTCAACCTGCCAGTTTAACTGTGACAACATCTGCAACGCCATGCTGCCACACCAGGGTAGAGGTGTGGGGCGCCAATTCTTGTCATACTGCTGAAGGAAAGTATGCGGCTACCTGGACCTTAAAACTTAAGATTTATCAGGTTCAAACACATAAGAGTGAATTCCTACTTAACAAAAGCACTCAGCCATTTAAATAAGTTCTTGTAAAATATTAAAGTAAATTATTTAAAGTGTTGAGTGTAAATCTGCATCAGAGCTGGAATGGCAAATTTGGAAAACAAATTAGCTCAAAACACTTTTTTCATGCCTCTTATTGATGTTCTAACAGAGTATAGCTATAAATATATTGTGGAGATTGAAAAAGAATTAAGTGATTCTCTTGCATTTGTCTAAAAACCTCCACCAATAACACACGTCAGAGAAACTGCTGGACTATCCAGCTATTGGTCTGGTCACACTTTATTAGGTCCTCCACTCATCACACACTCACGTATTGACCACCACAACACTGGTACCGCACAAAGTCTATTTTTTACCACAATCTGATATCGGTTACAATCTGTTAAATTTGCCGCCAGTGTGTGGCAGTAATGAGCCACTGATCTACCAGTGGAGCCGCAGAAGAAGAAACGAGCCAATAAGTGCCCTCGGTTTTCATGACGTATCACGTTACTGACGCTCATCTTGCTGTGAGAGATGGCGGAACAAGAAGAAATACGGAAGAAAAATAGAAGCGACAAATCTGAAGAGAAACCCCGGACAAAAACCTCACGAGTATGGGAGCACTTCACTCTAGATGCCATGAAAAGACGGGTGACCTGCAAAATATGCAAAAACCATCTAGCATGGCACGGAAGCACGACGTCCCTAAGTGAACATTTGACGAAAACATGTGGGGGCTGATGCAGCAGAGGAAAGTCCGGTAAGGAACAGAAAATAAACAAGCTAACGCAGATCAAATTTGGGAGCTGAGTTCATTATAGTGAATGTTAAACATGTTTTTTTGCTGCATCAGTCAACGGTGTTCTACTTCTGATTGACTAGATGCAATCGTGAATCTCTGTGTTGTGTATCATGCGCTTGCCAAATTTAGCACGTCTATTAATAAGAATGTTCTCGTTAAGAGAAAAACGGCACAAACCCATAACTATGTTCCTCATTCAAAAAAGGACAACTCCGCGGTGAAAAATATACAAACGAGCTGTGTCCAGGTGAATATAACGCGGCATAGTTGTACGCTTTTAATTTTTAAATACAGGAGAAATTCAGAAAAAGTCCTTTTTTTACTATTAAAAGGCTGTTTTACTATCTAACACTGTAAAACGCCTCACAACGCATTTTTATCAAAATAAATGATCACAGTATATTGTTAATTAATTCAAATAATATAATATTGATTTAGTGTTGTAGTGTGTGTGCTGCTTTATTTTATATGTGTACTTAATTCAGTCTATTTGTGTTTCTTATGCAGAAAAAAACAAGCAACGATGGACAACTACATGGGGAACAAGACACTCACCCCCCAGCAATGCATACCACTTACAAACTCTATTCTAGATTCTACATTCTTTTTTATGGAATTTACCTCTTATATTTTGATGCCAAAAATTATTCTGCACTGATATTTTGCACTGTTTAGCTCATTTTACACCGCTGACTGTGTTCATGTGCAATAAAATAAGATTGCAGTCAACTGCACAATTCTCTTATGTTTTTCTTTTTCTTAACTGAAATGTATTCATCACTTGTATAGGTTACATAGCTAAACAATAACAAACCGATTAATCAAAATAATCGAATGATTAATCGATTATGAAAATAATCGTTAGTTTCAGCCCTACTAGCAGACCGAGAGGGCGGAGCCACTAACAAATACACACACTCACGACATTGTGACATCATAATGTACAATCTAACATCATAGTGTACCTCTTAGCCAATAGCGATGGCAGATTTAAATTCAAATGCAGTGCTGAGTTTTTGCCTGACGACGGGGCATCGATGACAGTTTTAGGCAGATTATTTAAATTTTAACTAAGATTAACTAAAGTGCCAAATTATTGACTGAACGTGTCTACAGATTAATTAGACACTCATTTATATAGTTTATCAACAAAAAAAGTTGATTTGAGGGTGACTTGCTCTTTAAACAGATATGAATGATCATGTGTTAATAATGTTTTGTTGGGTCACTTTGAGAATATATTGTGCACCGGACGCACCAACGATCAGCACTCTGCGTCCTCTCCACTCAACAGAATCCCGCTACGCTGAGAGTCCATAAATATTGTAATATAGGCAGAAACGGGATCTTTCCCTGAATGATATCTAGCGCCCCATAACTCGACCCCTGCTCCTGGATGAAAAACTGGGACATTTTGATCCATGTACGAAACTCCCCCAGACAGAGAATGGAATGTGGACATGTCTGGGGGAAAGAGGATGTATGGTCACCCTACAATAGCACCAACCATAGATATGTACCAACTAGCGTGTAAAGCAATTTATCTTCTTTTTCTGCAGCGGTTTTAGTGCTTTTCGGTGCACCGCTGCTGATACAGCGCCCCTGTAGTGGCGCAACGTTGCAACTGCAGTTAAAATAACATCCTTATAGCTGGGAGCAGAGTGAAGTCGGGCTGGGGCGGCACAAAATTAGCTGGAGGCGGCCGCCACGCAAGTTTGAACGCAGGAAAAGCCCTGGCTTTACCAATCAGGAAACGGCTGGCAGCGAATGAGTTAAGCCTCTGATGCATGAATTACGAAATCTTGACTCCGTCCGTCCTTGCGGAGCTCTCCAGCAGGCTCGCAAGGACGTTGCGCGTCTCCGCGCTGACGCAGACGTAGAAGCACGACTCAGGCTTGAGTCATGCTTCTGCGTCAGTGCAGAGACGCGTGACGCCATTATCTGTCCTTGCGAGGGCTCTCCAGCAGGCTCGCAAGAACAGACTGAGTTGAGCTCTCTTTTCTAAACATCCGTCCGTCGAGACTGAGAACGCAAGCTTGTGATTGGTCAGGGCACCGCTGTCATCTACACCGCCGCCTTAGCGCCCTCAAAAACATAAAGAGAGCCGAGGATAACTAGCGGCAGACACGGAGAAACTTGAAGAATACTTCGCAAAAAAACTAAAAGTATGAACGTTTAATTCCCCCGTGACTGGAGGAGTGAAAAGATGCGCTGCAAGCGTTTTATTTGTGGACGGAAATGACAGGAAACGTGAGTTTAGAGGTGGCGAGCGCATGAAGAGGTGGAGGAGGATGAGAGACAAATATGTCCGTGTTAAAAAGTCTCTTATATACACAAAAAACACAAATCTAAACACACGATCTTGGGCCGATGCATGACAGGATACCACAGAACAGCTCTACGCCCTCTGTTGTCCTGCCGGGGAATTGCTTTGCAACAGGACACGGAGAAGTATGAGGACAAAACATCTCCGTCTGTGCGTGTCGGTCTCTGTTGGAGCTGACGGAGAAGCATGAATCAGGCTTAAGACGGCCCAAGGGCCGACGCAAAATGGCGTGGCGTGTCCCTGCACCAACGCATACGGGAGAAGTATGAATCAGGCTTTAGCCTACCTTGTTCTGTAGGTTCACCATATCACTTAATAGGAATAACTCAACAGCTGCTGGCAACATGTTAAACTAGGACTTTATTACACTTTACGGATGAAACAACCAGAGCGCAGCTGCAAGCACATGCAGCTCTATCCAGCTTCATACACGAATGGAATCACGTTCTGCTGGGAAACGTTAGTCACGAGATCCCAACAGGATCCATGCTGCCTCAGTTGTGCTCGATATGGATTCACAGCTGTGTAGTCTGGATGAGGAAAGGACGGTAAAGCCTTTTCCGTGGAGCCAACGCTGCCCGGCTAACTGCTGCTAGCTACAACCACTGCGTTCACCTCCTCATGTTGGCTCGTTGTAGTTAACGTCAACCCAGCAACGCTACCAGTTTGTAAATACCACCTATTTCTCTCAGGGAGGGACAACTCTGGAAAATAGATTGAAATACAGCATTTAAGGAGACGTGTTTAACGCCTCCAGACGGCAGCGGTGTCTCTCACCTACAGGACACGTCTCACCACGGACGGATTGAAAACAAAATGACATAAAAGCTGGGTGAACCGGATAAATAATGACATTAAACTAGTTTGAGATCAGAAAAAATTGGCCACCGCGGCTAGCGTTAGCTGTAGCACCGTTAAACGACTGCGCTAAACTATAAGATCAGCCGCAATAACGCTCGTTTAACTGTAAGGTCGCAGAGACATATACTCTAAATAATACAAACCACATCTACTCGTGATAAACGTACAGATTCCTGCAATATACATTTCCTTTTCAAATGAACGCTTACGTGATGAGATGCTGCTGCAGCGCGGCTTCAAACAGGTAACGGAAGTCCGCTTCTTCGTCCACCGAGTAGGGAGAGGTTTGGGTGCAGTGCTGCCGCGCACTGGAACGGGGTGTGCGCGACGGTAACTTACTGGTTTTATCACTCTTAAGTTGTTTCTTTGCGAATAGTAAAAACACTTTCCCTTAGACCTTAGCCCAATGTGTGACGTGATTTCCTTTAAATCATGTTCCCTTCTCTAAAGATCAACATGTGTTCCAGTTTGGAGAAAATGCAGAAAATAAAACCTTCTGTGTAGCTTCCACTCAGGTGGGTGCTCTGCAGCTTTATGACATTCAGAATGAGAAGCAGGAGAGCAGAGCACAATTTTTAATAGGTGCAGAAAACGGAAATGAAAGTTTCAACACCTTGTGAGTCTTCCTCAGGCTTACCTGTGTGTTCTAGGTTGGTTTGACTCTTCACTCCATGAGAGGAAAAATCAGTTTCAAACATACTGGGTCCAGATGTCCTACCTGCTGTGAGATCCATATTCAGACCAGCTAACCCAGGAATGGAGATGTCAAATCAATTCTATAATATAAATGTATTAAAATGTTCAACAATGTTCACAAAAACAATGGATGTTCAACAAGTATAAATAATGCGAGCAATCAAAAACACCGACCCAGACACATTCCTTCACCAAGCCCTCCCCTCTCAAACCTAAACAGACAGCAAGATGTTCCAACAAACAGTGGTGGAAGAAATTGTCCCATTAAAGGTTACAGTAGTTCGCCAGCATGGTAATATTTTTGGTTTTTAGAAGTCTGACAAAAAAAGACACCATGGTCAATTGAAATATTTGCAGACAATCGATTAAAAATCAAGTTAAATGACACAACTAACTTGATTTATCATAAACTAATGACCAGGGGCCTCATTTATAAAGCTTGTTTACACACAAAACAGGGTTGGAAAACTGCGTAAGCAACTTTACTTACTGGGAAAACGTAGCAGAAAATGTGTGCAACTTGGCTTACCTGGCTTACGCACATTTTGGACATGGAGAGCACCTGCAGTGCTGCTGCTGAGAAGGATACAGTTATGAAATCTTGCAGCATTATCACTCGTACCACTTCAAATTCACACAGAACAAGACCCCCTAAAGCCTGGTTCATGCTTCTCCGTCAGCTCCACAAGGGACAGACACGCACGGATTGACGGAAGCGTTTTGCTCTCATGCTTCTCCGTCTCCTGGAGAGTGTTGCAAAGCAATTCCCCGCCAGAACAGTAGAGGGCGTAGCGCTGTTCTGTGGTATCCTGTCATGTATCGGTCCAAGATCGTGTGTTTATCTTGTGTTTTTTGTGTATATAAGAGACTTTTTAACACGGACATATTTGTCTCTCATCCTCCTCCACCTCTTCATGCGCTCCCCACCTCTAAACCCACGTTTCCTGTCATTTCCGTCCACAAATAAAACGCTTGCTGCACATCTTTTCACTCCTCCAGTCACGGGAGAATGAAACGTTCATATTTTTAGAGTTTTTTCGTGAGGTGTTCTTCAAGCTGCTCCGTGTCTGCCACTAGTTATCCTCGGCTCTCTTTGCAATGGCGGCGCTGTAAACAACAGCGGCATCCTGACCAATCACAAGCTTGCGTAATCCTTCTCGTTCGATGGATGTTTAAAAAAGTGGGCTCGACTCCGTACGTACTTGCGTGCCTGCCGGAGCCCTGCGCATGGACGGATAATGGCGTTGAGTGTCTCCGCACTGACGCAGACGGAGAAGCATAAATCAGGCTTAACAAACACAGCCTGAAGCACGGAATAAAGAATGAGACAGAACGTCATGCGTCTGTGACAGTGTGAGCGTCCTATCACTGTGACCCGATTGATCATGCACCCTGGCTACTTGGTCAAAGGGGTTGTCCCTTTGGCTGACTGGTTTGAGCGCGAAACTCTCACCTGGGACCAGTGTTGGGAACGTTACTTTAAAAAAGTAATTAGTTATAGTTACAGATTACTTTGTCACAAAAGTAACTCAGTTACTAACTGAGTTACATGATCATAAAAGTAACTAATTACCAACAAAAGTAACTACTTAGTTACTTTTTTCATTAAAGAATGCAAGAATTACTACAATAGTAAAATAGAAATGACTAATGACTGAACATAATAAAATGTATGTCCAAATGTTTTATATAAACCTGAATAATTTCAATAAATAAGCACTTAACAGGAGCAACTACTAATAGGAACATTACACTAATCTAGACTATTAAAAGGTCACTGTGTGATATTTAACAAAAACCCGTCTCTCGTCTCGTCTTCCTCCGCTTATCCGGGTCCGGGTCGCGGGGGCAGCATCCCAACTAGGGAGCTCCAGGCCGTCCTCTCCCCGGCCTTGTCCACCAGCTCCTCCGGCAGGACCCCAAGGCGTTCCCGGACCAGATTGGAGATGTAACCTCTCCAACGTGTCCTGGGTCGACCCGGGGGCCTTCTGCCGGCAGGACATGCCCGAAACACCTCCCCGGGGAGGCGTCCAGGAGGCATCCTGACCAGATGCCCAAACCACCTCAACTGGCTCCTTTCGATCCGGAGGAGCAGCGGTTCTACTCCGAGTCCCTCCCGAATGTCCGAGCTCCTCACCCTATCTCTAAGGCTGAGCCCGGCCACCCTACGGAGGAAACTCATTTCGGCCGCTTGTATCCGCGATCTCGTTCTTTCGGTCATTACCCAAAGCTCATGACCATAGGTGAGGATTGGGACGTAGATCGACCGGTAAATCGAGAGCCTGGCTTTCTGGCTCAGCTCCCTCTTCCCCACGACAGATCGGCTCAGCGTCCGCATCACTGCAGACGCCGAACCAATCCGCCTGTCGATCTCCCGATCCCTCCTACCCTCACTCGTGAACAAGACCCCGAGATACTTAAACTCCTCCACTTGAGGTAGGACCTCTCCCCCGACCCGGAGGTGGCAAGCCACCCTTTTCCGGTCGAGAACCATGGTCTCAGATTTGGAGGTGCTGATCCTCATCCCAGCCGCTTCACATTCGGCCGCGAACCTACCCAGCAAGAGCTGAAGGTCAGAGCTGGATGAAGCTAGGAGGACCACATCATCCGCAAAAAGCAGAGACGAGATTCTCCTGCCACCAAACTCGACACACTCCACACCACGGCTGCGTCTAGAAATTCTGTCCATAAAAGTGATGAACAGAACCGGTGACAAAGGGCAGCCCTGGCGGAGTCCAACCCTCACTGGGAACAGGTCCGACTTACTACCGGCTATGCGGACCAAACTCACGCTCCTCTGGTAAAGGGACTGAATGGCCCTTAACAGAAAGCCACCCACCCCATACTCCTGGAGCGTCCCCCACAGGGTGCCCCTGGGGACACGGTCATAAGCCTTCTCCAAATCCACAAAACACATGTGGATTGGTTGGGCAAACTCCCATGCCCCCTCCATCACCCTTGCAAGGGTATAGAGCTGGTCCACAGTTCCACGGCCAGGACGAAAACCACATTGCTCCTCCTCTATCTGAGATTCAACTATCGATCGGACCCTCCTCTCCAGTACCTTGGCGTAGACCTTTCCAGGGAGGCTGAGGAGTGTGATCCCCCTATAGTTGGAACACACCCTCAGGTCACCCTTCTTAAAGATGGGGACCACCACCCCGGTCTGCCACTCCCTAGGAACTGCCCCCGATGACCACGCAATGTTGTAGAGACGTGTCAACCATGACAGCCCTACAACATCCATAGCCTTGAGATACCCAGGACGAACCTCATCCGCCCCCGAGGCTCCGCCGCTGTGTAGTTGTTTGACTACCTCAGCAACTTCTGCCCCCGAGATCGGACAGTCCATCCCCAGGCCTCCCAGCTCTGGTTCCTCCTCGGAATGCGCATTGGTGGGATTGAGGAGCTCCTCAAAGTATTCCTTCCACCGTCCGACTATAGTCTCAGTTGACGTCAGCAGCTCCCCATCCCCACTGTAAACAGTGTGAGCGAGTTGCTGCCTTCCTCTCCTGAGGCGCCGGACAGTTTGCCAGAACCTCTTTGGAGCCGATCGATAGTCTTTCTCCATGGCCTCACCAAACTCCTCCCACGCCCGAGATTTTGCCTTGGCAACTGCCACTGCTGCACCCCGCTTGGCTATCCGGTACCTGTCTGCTGCCTCCGGAGACCCACAGACCAGCCACGCCCTGTAGGCCTCCTTCTTCAGCCTGACGGCTCCCCGAACCTCTGGTGTCCACCAGCGGGTACGGGGGTTGCCACCACGACTGGCACCGGCCACCTTACGGCCACAGCTAGCAACAGCCGCCTCGACAATCGCAGAGTGGAACAAGGCCCACTCGGACTCAATGTCCCCCACTGCTCTCGGGACAAGGTCAAAGCTCTGCCGGAGGTGGGAGTTGAAGACCGTCTTGACAGGTTCTTCTGCCAGGCGTTCCCAGCAGACCCTCACTATGCGTTTGGGTCTGCCAGGTCTACGCGGCATGTTCCCTTGCCATCTGATCCAACTCACCACCAGGTGGTGATCAGTTGACAGCTCCGCCCCTCTCTTCACTCGGGTGTCCAAAACATACGGCCGCAGGTCAGATGATACGACTACAAAATCTATCATCGACCTGTGACCTAGGCTGCCCTGGTACCAAGTGTACCGGTGGGCATCCAACTGTGGACCCACCACCCGCAGGAGGAACATGAAGGGTCCGGTGCAATGCGAATCGGGTGGCAGACCAAGGCGGGAGCCTTGGCGGTCCAATCCCCGGACAAGAAAACTAGTTTTTGGGACATGGAACGTCACCTCGCTGGCGGGGAAGGAGCCGGAGCTTGTGGCAGAGGTTGAGCGGTACCGGCTAGATATAGTCGGACTCACCTCGACACATTGCATTGGCTCTGGAACCCGAGACCTGGAGAGGGGTTGGACACTCTACTTTGCTGGAGTTGCTCCGGGTGAGAGGCGGAGGGCTGGGGTTGGCTTTTTGTTAGCTCCGAGACTCTCTGCCTGTGTGTTGGGGTTTACCCCGGGGGACAAGAGGGTAGCTTCCTTGCGCCTTCGGGTCGGGGAACGGGTCCTGACTGTTGTTTGTGCTTATGGGCCAAATATCAGTTCAGAGTACCCACCCTTTTTGGAGTCCCTGGGACGAGTGCTAGATAGTGCTCCATCAGGGGACTCCATTGTCCTGCTGGGGGACTTCAATGCTCACGTGGGCAATGACAGCTTGACCTGGAGGGGTGTGATTGGGAGGAACGGCCCACCTAATCTGAACTCGAGCGGTGTTTTGTTATTGGACTTCTGTGCAAGCCGCAGTTTGGCCATAACGAACACCATGTTCGAACAAAAACCCAATCAGCTAAAATTTAAAATTGCAAATAGAAACACCTGTAAAGGTTCCCGAGCCTTTAAATGGTCTCTCGGTCTAGTTAAATTACAGAAATAAATGTAATTTTGCACAGCATTCTAATTTTTCCAGCTTCACATAATTGTGTGTTTTTAGCATTTCTGTTGCTGGTAATCTAGTAATGGTTAAATAAATAAATAAATAAATATCCTTTAAAATGACACTAGAAGAGGCACAAGCCTGATGGAGGACTTAAATGTACTAACGTGGGTCAGACCCAACCACAGAAGAGCTGAAGCTGGGTGGTGAACACACACAGGTAGTTCTGATAACACCTGAGCTCCATGACGTCTGAGACTGATGCATCAGTGTTACAGCGGGACTAAAGACATGATCAGAAACAGGTTACAGCTGGATGATCTAGGAAGGCAGAAGATCAGGACGTCTGAGCGGTGAACAGGTGAGCGGACCTTCGGGATGTCCCGCTGTCACGCTAAGGGCACGGCTGCAGACTCGCAGATTCGCTGCTGCAGCAACAAATCTGCGGGGGGTCTGCAGCCGTAGATATTCATCACGTCTTCCTCGTTCTTCACGGGCCGTGATGCTCTTAAACATCTGCCTCTTTAGCTCCTGATCAGCTGATGATGACGGCTTCAACACACCGCGCTGCTTAACTCACGCATTTCCTAGTAACAGGAACGACGTTTTGATAAAAGAAGACGTAATTAATTAGTTTGCTCGTTACAGAAAGAAATATTTTTTATTAACGTGGTTATTTTAAATGGAGTTATTCCCGTTGTGTCTACAGCATGCAGCGACTGAGACAGTGAGGGTCTCCGCCCACCCGGCCAATCATCATCGTGTTTGTAAGTGCGTTACCGACACCTCTCTCTCCCCGGCTGCAGCTGAAGTGTGGCGGTCAGAAAGCCTCACGCTGCTGCTCAACGTTGGACAAGCACATAGTAACGCACAACCTTCCGTTCCCTGTAACGGTAACGGCGTTGCAACGGCGGGAAAAGTAATTAATTAGATTATTTCGTTACCTATAAAAGAACGCCGTTAGAAACGCCGTTATACTTAATCGGCGTTACTCCCAACACTGGCTGGGAGTTTGGGGATCGGATCCGCTCGGGCCCTTGTCTCTCCAACCTGTCACACGTCATCTATAGGACCAACACAGAAGGCATGATTTTCATCTTTTATTTTCTTGCCAATTCTTTAAGTGTTCCTGAAATTTCAGTCAGGACATCACACATTCTGTGCAGTTCTTCTCGCGCTTCATTCACCGCATTAATCATGTCCCTGTGTGCCTACAGGACAGCGTCAGTTAGCACCCGGCCACTTCCAGGTGCGCCATGCGCCCTGTGAGACAGGCCGACCCTGCAGCCTCGTCTTCGTTCGCCACATGGGATGCCTCGTTGGACGCTACATCCAGAGTCACTGGGGGAAACGAGATTTGGTTTTGTTTTATATTTTATTGACAGACACATTTGATCTAAATTAACAAAAGGCTTTAACATTACCAGTCTCTTATGCATGGTCAGTGTCTCCCTCCTTCTCCGGCACGATGCCACGCACGCTTGCCGGTCTGAGTACTGCTGAGATCCTAATGGCAAGCGGTGGGGGATCAGAGGTGCCAGGGCTTCCGTCAATGGCAGACACACTCTGGCGGTGGCAAGCCATCCTTTTTTTGCCTCCACCTTCAGATCGGACCATTTTTTTATATCCAACACAGATCTCTCAGAAGAACTCACAGCATTGACGGCTTCAGCAACGCTGTGCCGCTCCGGGCATTTTCTCTTATTTGTTTTGTAAAAGCACTTCCTTTCATTTTTCCACCTCACCCACAAGTACCTCAATTTCTGCTTCGGTGAAATTGCGCTTCCTTGATCTGCAGTCGCCATTGTTAACGGTGGAGCGCTGCAACGAGTCGGCTTATGTACAGCTTATGCATGATATCCACAAGGCATTTTGCATTGAACATTTATGGCAGAAAGTGGACGTGTTCAGGGCAGGATGTGATCTAGAAACACCCGAGCACATTTCTAAGTAGTTCATGATTTATAAAGCGGAGATTGCGTGAAGCTGTGCGTACTCTAACACCAGTCAGTGACTTGATGCAACCTGCTGGGTTCCTTATATAGAAAACTTTTTACGGATTGGCTTAAAGCTGCTTTCCGGAGTTTTCCTCTTTCAGAAATTATGTATGATTTGTCAGAAATCTGTAAAAGTGATTATCTTATCATGTACTGTGATATAATATAAGCAATACGTCTTTTATTTGCTAACCACACCCCCTGCCCAGCAAAGCTCCGTGCAATAGCAAACTGAGTGCCGACCAGAACTAACCAATAGCGATAGACTACCACTTAGACGCTTCACATTTAAAGGAGACATAACATGCTTTTAAGTTATTCCTTTTTACATCTAAATCCTTCAGTTGGGGTCTAAATACAGTGGAACTGCAGTTCTTTGGTCTGATTTCCTCATTATTGTTGCTCTACAGACCCTCATCTACCCCTGTGCTGAGGAGAGTCTTGAGAACGAGCCGTTTTCAGGTACTGTCTCTTTAAACTGGAGGAGGAGCTGTAAACTCCGCCCCCCTCCATAGTGCAGACCTTTACTCTCCTCCCCCAGCCGGACTTTGTAGTTCTATAGAGAAATCATTATTTAGCATAGCAGATTTAGCATAGCATATTAGCATTTTTAAAACATGTGGGGAGAGTAGTTCATCAAGCGGTTTCATGGCTGCTAACTCGTCGCTGCCACATTCAGATGGAAATGACTCCTTTTAGATAGATGAAGCCCTCAGTACTTAGCCACTAGCCTGGAGACACGAACGAACCGCGCGCGCGCGCGCGCACACACACACACACACACACACACACACACACACACACACACACACACACACACACACACACACACACACACACACAAAGGCTGTGTCCGAATCCAGGGGTAGGATGCTTGTAAGTGCGCATTTTGAGGTCGATGACGTCAAAGCGCAGCGACGAGTACTGTCCGAATTCCAAGAATCCTCATTCTCGCGTCCTCAAACGCGTCCTCGCTCCACCCACATTTCGAGGATGGGTCTGATGGATCCTCACAGGAGCAAGGGTATCCCAGCATGCTTTGCGCGCCGGCCGCTGGACTCGACACTCGCAACAACGGCGGACGGAGCGGGACAGCAGTACAGCTTAAAATGTAAGTTAGTTAAAAAAATAGCGGTAAAAAAAATAAAATACGTGTTTGGGCACTTTTGGTTTGTTTTTTATATAAGATCTAATACCGCAAATTTTTTTTTAATGTAATTTAAGGCTAAAACATGCCCCACCGAAAACCAGCTTGAATGTTTAATAGGAAAAAACCACCGTAAACTAGCTTGATCCCAGCAGGCTTTTTAAAAGAAAATAGCGGTAGAAAACTAAGCTGAACGCGGTTCTGTTTATAGACATTTGTCGTTTGTATAAGTACATTTTAAGCAGAAATCAGCGAGAACGAGCTTGTATGGTGGTCCCGTCATAATTCCCGTGTGTGTGTGTTTATTTAGCGAATAAAGCTTCTCATCATTTGTTTTAAGGTTAACACCCCACCGTAAACTTGCTTGAATGTCTAATAGGAACAAACTCACCGTAAAAGAGCTTGCATCTTATGTAATCATGTAACGAACGCCAAAAATAACGAAAACTAAGTTTAATGTTTATTTAAGTTAATTTTTAAGAAACCACATTACTGATATAATGTTTTTAATTTCATTTTAGGCAGAAAAAAAACACAGAACACAATTTTCATCTCCCATGTTGATAAATTAAAATATTGTTTATTCCATGTTTTATCAACTATGATTTATAATCTGACTTTGTTCTTCTATTCCTCTCTATTCTCATCCAGAACCAGTACCTTTAAGGAGCATCTGTAATTTCATTATGCCCACAGTGTTCTCTGTTGTTAAATGACAATAAAGCCTTGTAATTCTAATTCCCTTTGTCTATAGGACTGCAAGCATCCAGGGTCAGGAGAGGGAGTCAGCGGAAAGCCCACTGCTGAATCCTGGCCCTGGTTTGTCCCCATGGACGAGGTGTTGGGACAGAGGCCTTCCACTATGCCTCCTGTCCTTATTGCTTCCATTCCCGAGGACACTCCAGGGCCAAGTGCAGCAGTGGGTGAGACAGAGGACAGGGAGAGTGGTGGAAGGAAGCCGGACTCCTCATCAGGGAGAAAGGAGAAGGGCTGATGAGCTCCTTGACCTGATCAGGGAGGACATGAGACAACAGAGGGAAGCGGAGGAGAGGAGAGGAAGAAGGATGGACAGATTTTTAGCATTGATGGAAAGGATGGCAGAGAAATGGAGTTTTTTTCTTTTAGTTTCTTCTGGTTCAGGTTCTATATATGTGTTTGAATGTTTTTGTTATTTGTTTAAATGTAATAAAATTTCTATTAATTGATAACTCTTTTTTGATCATTAACAGTTTTATTATTCAGTTTTTAACAAGTAACAACATAGTAAATAAATGTTAGGGGAACACTGTAAGGAATAAAGGTAAAGATAAAAGTAAAATATATACAGTAAACTTGGAAAGCAGGGAGTCTTTGGTGGTGTTGCTAAATCTACTGAACATGGATCATCGAGGTGGATGGAGTGCAGGAACCGGGATCCGTGGCTGAACGTTTCTGGTTGGCAAGTGGAACATCAGACAGAGTGGTCTGCAGAGGGTGCTTCTGGATGCATCATCTCACTGACCACTGCATCGTCCATCAAAAGGGTTTGCTGGGCTGGCTCAATCGACGGCTGTCACATCACTAACATTCAGATATATGCAAAAAAGGAGATCATGAGTATAATACTTGTAACTCTAGCAGATAACAGGACTAAATGATGTTTAAACTAGAGATTCCTACGTAAATTACTTGCCTGTTAACAGTAATTGTGATCTGGTGGTACTTCCTCCAGAGCAGACACCTCAGCAGAAAGTTGGTCCCGCCAGAGGGCACCACTGATTGCCTCCAAACCAGCCTCCCCCTCATCTTCTGGAGCATCATCCTCCAGTTCATCGTCCTGCACCACAATGTCACCAGCACTGAGGCAGATGTTGTGCAGGATGGTGCATGCTGTGATGACCTGTAATAGAGATCAAAATTTAATTTATATTTCATTCCCAAACAAAGATTACACCCAAAGTTTATTTCCACTTTGTGTTAACTTACATGAGGTACAAAGGTGTGGTGGACCTCCAGCGCTTTCAGGAAGATGGTCCTGAACCTGGTCTTCATCATTCCAAAAGCACGCTCGATGATGCAGCGTGCCCTGGAATGATGGCTGTTGAAGCGCTGGGCTCCCACACCTTGAACCACCCGTTTGTAGGGGGTGATGAGGGGGAGTGGATGTTGGAGGCATGGGTACCCTCCATCCGCGAGGATGAAGTGCCCTGGAGGAGGATAGGCTGACTGCCTGTACAGTGGGCTGTGCCGGAGGACCCTGGAGTCGTGGACCGACCCAGGCCAGCCCACATAGGTGTCGATAAAGCGGCCCTGATGGTCACAAACTGCCTGCAGGATGATAGATGGGAACAGTTTCCTGTTTCTGTAGCACTGACCATCAGGACCGCTCTGAGCCTTGATCCGAATGTGACAGCCGTCGATCGCACCTGCTGCTTTCATGAAAGCTCTGTGTCGAGCCAGCCCAGCAAACCCACGAGACACAACCTCCATCTCCTCTGGGGTTTTGGGGAGGTGAATGACCTGGTGGAGGACTGCGACCACATCCTCCGTGACTCGATGGACGATGTTGTGGACAGTTGAGCGAGGCATCCCAAATACTCTTGAGACCACCCTGTAGGATGTTCCACTTGCCAACCAGAACAGAAACACCAGGGTCTCGATTGTGGCACCCCAACCATGTCGCCGATCTTGGTTCAGGAGATTTAGCAACACCACAAAAGACTCCCTGCTCAGACGAAAATCTGGCCTGGGATCTTCCTGGTTAAAAAACCGGTCCAGGACTGGCACACTCATGTTAATCCTACAGTACAGGGGTCTGTTCTGTTAAAAGAAAAGTAGAGAACAATAAAACAATAAAAAAAAAACTGTATAAATGCTTGAGATTTTTAGAAGAGAGCTAGGCATTATTAGGCATAAGTTGAAAAGGACAATACACATTAAACACATTGTAATGCTACTTTTACTATGACATTTATGCACAGAACCAAACATTATGATCAAATACAAACTTCTAAAATGTCATTCCATTAATTATTTTAGATGAATATAGGTTAAATTAACTATATGCATGTTAGTCTACTCTATACTAATGTGTATATTCAGCCACATGTCTTTCTGTTGCTTAAAATATAAATGAAACTAGCACTAAAGTTAACATGTAATGCCTGAAAGCTGGTTCACTAAACAAAAAATAATTTTACCTGGATATGGCTGCTTCTCAGCCTTAAATACAAAGGCCGGTGACGTTTACTAAGCAGTCGCAGCTCCTCAAAAACCAAAAATAAAAGGGAATACTGCTGTGGATCCATTTTCACCTCTGACTAGCTTGTTAGCCTGTTTGCCGCCGTCACGGTAGCTAAGCAACTGGACCTGGGGGCAGGAATAAAAACGAGGCTAGTACTGTCCGAATTCAGAGCCGCTGACTTCCGGTTTTAGCGGTCTAGCAAGGACCCGGCCTTGCTAGACCGGCGAGGATCCGTACTCACAAGCATCCTACCCCTGGATTCGGACACAGCCCACCACACACACACACTACTTTTTCTTCTGTGTTTTTTTAGCAGTAGTGTCATCAGCTCCTGGGTTTAAATACTGCCACACCACCCTTCCTTAAAACGAGGAACAGTTTTGAGCTGTGTGTGGCTAAAATAACCAGACATTCTGCATTTTTCCAATAGGACTACAAAAAATCTTAGCGAGAAGAAAAAATGGCGGATTGGCTCTGTGTTTAGCCGAGGGCCATTACCATATTTGGTAGTTATCCTGACGAAATAAATTACTGATGTAATTGATAATTTGAAAAACTGAACGGGTGGACAAATATGCCCAAAACTTAATTATTAAATATCTAAATAGCAACTCCAGTGAATAATATAAGCCTTTTTGCTCACTTAGACACTTAAAATGTGAAACACGCTGTGTTAATGGATAAAAAAGTGGGTTTTTCATGTTATGTCTCCTTTAAGGAATACCTCGGCTGATGCAGTTGATAAACTTTTCACGGACAAGAAAGTCTCTAAAATATAAATACATGAAAACAACATGACATGAGAATAATTGTAAAACAGCGTGTTTTAGCTGTTTGTCGGCTACAGAAGCGCATTTATAAACAGAAACGTGAAGTTGCCACCTTAAACAGAGCAACAGCGGTTGTGTGTGATACGCTTCTCTGCCACTAGATGGTGATATTGGATAAGAGAAATACTCCGGAAAGAAGCTTTAATGAACTGAACTCTATTGGAATGTTTACTTTGTGAAGCCTTTGTGTGCCTTGAGACGACTCTTGTGATTTGGTGTTATGTAAATAAACTGAATTGATCTCAAATAAAAGCAAAAGGCCTTTGAGCAAAAAGGAAAACAAACCTCCTGAACAAACCCAGAGCTATAAAAAGAGAGAGTTACGACACGCTTTGAACTCACCGACTCGCGGTCCCGTGGTTCATGGAGGTCCCAACAGTCCCAAACATCCCAGCACCTTAAGTCAGTTTGAACGGCGTTTGGTGGGACAAATCACAAAAACTGAATATCGTTACATTTCCCCTGGCGATTTTTGGTAATTATTGAATAATAGTATATATTATATTATATATTATGTCCTAATTCCTTCACATAGTAACCCATTTTTTTCCCCGAGCAGTTGTAGGAAGACAAACACCCGTGACTGTTCTACATTACAGGAATATATAAATGCTAAATGGCCTGTATTTGATATAGCGCCTTCTAGAGTCCTGGAACCCCCCAAGGCACTTTACAACACAATCAGTCATTCACCCAGTCACACACACATTCACACACTGAAGGGGATGAGCTACAATCTAGCCACAGCTGCCCTGGGGCGCACTGACAGAGGCGAGGCTGCCGAGCACTGGCGCCACCGGTCCCTCCGACCACCACCAGCAGGCAATGTGGGTTAACTGTCTTGTCCAAGGACACAACGGCAGCGACAGACTGAGCGGGGCTCAAACCTGCAACCTTCCGATTACGGGGCAAGCTCTTAACTCCTGTGCCACCGTCGCCCCGGTGACAGTCCTAACACACTGTAGAACACATTTAGACCACATACATTACTATAATATACTATAGCAGTAAATCTGATGTAGTAATGCAACACACTGCTCTAATATAAGCATATTTAATCACTTTAAGTCCTACATGAACCCTAAACTCGAGTTGTAATATCCATTTTAAAGTGTTTATTGAAAGCCAGAATTCTGCTCCAGCTAACCTTGAAGAAAACATGCAGCTGTTTATGCTTTGAATGATGATCTATTATGTTCAGTAGAATACATTTTACAATCATTACTTTATATTTGTATGTGAAGACAGTACATGTATCTATAACCCAGTTTATCTGGCTTCTATAGCAACTAATTACAAAGAAAACTTCAATTAAACTGTATGGTTCATCACAGTAGATGAAAAGTGTTAACTGTGAAAAATGAACACCAAACTTGTACAACATGTATAATAGCATTTTAATAAAGCATTTTACCAACATTATGTTTAGTCATTACCAGAGGTGGAAAGTAACAAATTACATTTACTTACGTAACTGTAATTGAGTAGATTTTTTGTATATTTATACTTTTTAAGTCGTTTTTAAAAGCTGTACTTTTACTTTTACTTGAGTAAGTATTTTAAAAAGAATTGTAATTCGCTACATTTTAAATCATATCTGTTACTGAGTAAAAACAAATTATAGGCTTAATAAATTACAAATATTACGTGAAGCAGCGTCGGAACGGAAAGAGACACCTGCATGAGTGCCGCGTCTAAACCGTGGTGGGGGTGGGGGGGTACATTTTTGCTCAAAGACATCAGTTCAGTTCCTCAACTCGCTGTTTACCTCCTCTCTCCCTCCTCTCTTGTGGGTTGGAACCCGCACCTTCGCGCACCGGTGTGACGTCATCAGAATTCTGCTCGGTTCGGTAGCCGGACTCGGTTCCGTGTTTGAAATGTGTTTCCCTACCGCTCCGCACGACAGCAGCAAAATAACGTTTAGCGCTCATAACAAGCGGATTCTCAGCGCTCTGCTCATAAAACAGAAGACCTGCAGGCCTCTGTCAGTTAATCCTGATACTGTTCAGGTGTAAACATTGTGCTCCATCCCTGTGTTTGAACTCAGAAGATGCTTCTTGATGCCGCAGATATGTGATGATTTAGCTTGTTTCTTTATTTTACTCCAGAAAAAGAGATTAAATTATTACAAAAGCAGTTCAATGTAGTTAAATTAGTCATGGTGTGTGTGTGTGTGTGTGTGTGTGTGTGTGTGTGTGTGTGTGTGTGTGTTACACATATAGGACTGCATGGTTTCATCAAATCCATGCAGTCATATATCTTGGCTGAAGTAATGGCTCAGGAAAATAACATATATAACACATATATAACATATATTTCATAAATAATGACGTCTCTGCAGCCTCTTAGAGAAACATGACAAAAAGAACAACTTTTCCTCGTTAGACATGTGACATTTGAGTAGGGCTGCAACAAACGATTATTTGGATAATCGATTAATCGGATGGGGTCTCGACACGATTAATCGATTAATCGGATTACATGGGGAAATTTTTAAAAACTGCTAGGGAAACGTTATTTCTCTCCTTCCTTCACTTTATTTAACACAACATTATTAGAAAACAGTTCAATAGCAGAAAAACAACATGCCATCACCTAAATTGTCTTATAAGGTGTATAGACAGAGACCCTAAGCTACATCTATCTGTGACCTAAAATGCTTCGTCCAAGTTAAACAGCTTAAAGAGCAATTCTCATCTGTTTTGTTTGATCTCATCTGTAGACATTTATTATAACTGGGGATGTCAAACAACCAATTTTTAAATGTAATTAAACATAGGCTGTGAATTAATCAAAATTGATCACTATTTCCAAAAATGACTGAAAAAATAAGTTGTCACACACTCCATGGAAACTTTCAGAGAATCCACAAATAGTGGCTTTCAAATGGTTTTGTTACTTTCTGCAAGTTTAGAAAAGCAGCAGATGAGACAGCATGTCTGATAATTTAGTTTTTCATCTGATAATATTAGAACATGTCAGTAAAGTCTGAGGGGCTTTTATAAACACTGTATAACTAACACTACTGGAGAGGGCATGAATTACACAGAGGCTTCTGGGGAGCCCAGTTATTGGGTGGGGGGTGGGGGTGGGGCATTTTGCCTTGGCCCCCAAAATGTCTTGAAACGGCCCTGGCTGTGTGACAGAGTTTTGAAGGTGATCTGAATTGTATCAGATGTATAAATATTACATGTGTGTAACTTATTGTTTTATAGGTAAAAACGTGTAGTGGAGATAAATCTACCTACATTTTACTTTTCAACACTTTGTTTTGTTTTCTTGTTTTTATTGAACTATTTTCCTGTCCTGTCTGTCTCTCATCTTCCTGCATCTCCTCTTAATTGTCCAGAAAGTCTGTTGCCTGGATTCTTACTTTTTCACCTCATCAGTTACTTCTGAGCAGATCTAAGGGATCTCCTGACCGCAAAGCGCAGAGCGCGTTTTCGATGCTGCGTGAGGTGAAATCACCGCAGCACAGGTGATGAGCTCGGCAGTAGCAGAGCGCTTCAGGCACAAATAAGACAGAAAGTAGAGCACATGTGCAGACATGAACGATCGTGTGCTAATTATAGTTTTTTGGTTGCGCCACTTTGAGAATGGACCGTGCGCTGGAAGCAGCTGCCTGGATCGCTGCGCAGCAATGTGCTGTGCTGCTCTCTGCTCAAGAGTCCAAAAATGATATAATATAGAAAACTTTTTTCCGACTCCCCTGGATGTGTAGGATATACAGCTCCCCCATAATTCGATCCCTGCTCCTGGATGAAAAGCCGGACATTTTCATCAATACAAGAACCCGCAGTCCGGACGCCCGGACAGAGAGTGAAAAGTGGACACGTCCGGGGAAAACGGAACGTACGGTCACCCTAGTCCTCATAAAGCGGGAAATTATAGATACAGTATTTTGCTCGTGCCCTGGGCCCTTTAGAGTTCGTGGGCCCTGGGCAATTGCCCAGTTAATCCGGCCTTGGGCGGATCCGGTTTGCAGCAGCGCGAGTCCCCCCCCCCGCTCATCTAATAAGCGTCGCGCTCACGACTTTAGACTCTTTTTTTTTACGAGCTCAGGGCATGTCTAGCCTGTGTAATAATCCGGGACTTGGATGAATCACTTTTGAAACGTTTTTAATTTACCCGGACACAGAGTTCTCTCCTTCCTCGCTGATGATCCCGACATGCTTGCGTTTAAGACGCTGCATCATCCCGTGCCATGCTAAGTCTGACCTAAACGTTGCAGGTAACGCATGTCTTCGCCTGATTTAACTGAAAATGCTCCCAAACTTAAAAAGCTTTTACTTTTTTGACTCTCGCTGCTTCTGCCATGTTCCTCTTCCAAACAACTGCCGGCTCTGCCTCGCGCTGATCTGTCTGCGCGCAACGGCGGGCGGGAAGGGGGGGCGCTTTTGGAAGAGTTGTGCGACACAACGAATCGATGACGCAATTCGTTGCCAATGCTTTTAGTAATCGATTTTCATCGAATTTATCGATTCGTTGTTGCAGCCCTACATTTGAGAACAGGTAGATGGAAAAAAACAAACTGGTAAACACACTAATAAACTCAGGGTCTTTAATTGAACAACATTTCTAAATTAGAGCTGCATGTAGGCAGGTGGTGTGTGTGTGTGTGTGTGTGTGTGTGTGTGTGTGTGTGTGTGTGTGTGTGTGTGTGTGTGTGTGTGTGTGTGTGTGTGTGTGTGTGTGTGTGTGTGTGTGTGTGTGTGTGTGTATGTGTGTGTGAGTCTGTGTGTGTGTGTGTGCGTGTGTGTGTGTGTGTGTGTGTGTGTGTGTGTGTGTGTGTGTGTGTGTGTGTGTGTGTGTGTGTGTGCACGCTCAAGAGATTCTGTGGGCTCAGTTCACTTCTATTTTCCTGGTCCTCTCGCCAGGTTCTCACTGGTTTCAGCCGCTTCCTTGAGAACTTGCATCAACATGGCCGTCTTCTTCATAGACTCCTCCATCCTCATTGGGTTTGATTCTGGAAGGTTCTGATGGGCAGTGAATCAGACCAGTTATTAGTTACCGTTTTAATTTCAACAATAAAATATTTGTTTAGTTTAGAAACAAAAATGCACAAACACACAGAGGGGTTGGCTCTGCTCCGGTTACCATGTCTAAAACTCAATAATCACTGTGGTGGTGTCACTACAAAACCAGTGTTATGTGTACCAGTGTGTTGCTGTAATTGATTATTCTGCCGGGCATACCCCAACTCTCTCCTGATGGCTGCTGGAGATAGTTGCAGGCGCTGCCCCAGAACACAGGAACCCCAAGGAGACTGCAACCAGGAAGGCCCCTGCCCCCCTCGAGAGGCGCAGAGGATCGCCCCGGGGGGCCACAACCAGCAGCCGGCAGAGTCCCGGGAGATATCAGCGGCAAGCCCACAGGCCCGCCCGCAGACTCCCACCCCCTAGCCGGCCGAGCCCGGGACCCAGCGACCCGGGACCCACGAACACTCAGGCAGACCAAGGCACCACACTCCACACCAGGTGTGGCAGGAGGAGGGGGGACGAAGATCTATATCATCAAGAGAAGTTCCAGGAGAGGGGAGGAGTCAAAGGCCCCACCTGACATATACAGTCATACACAAACACAGTCACACACTCCCTCCCTCATGCTCACACATGCACACACAACCCAAGATTTACAAAAATGCACGCCGGACACCCACTCATGCTCCCCATACACACCCTATTCACTCTGGTCCTGGTACTGCTGCACATGGGGTACAACCATCACCGGTTACCAGAGTTTGACCCTTTCTACTGGGGTGCTGATGAGCAGGCTCCCCCGCCCAACACTGAGCACAGCAACCCACCACCCCAGACCCCAACCAGACGGCCAGATCTCCCTCCTAGCCTGCAGCCCCAGGAAGCCAAGCAACAACAGAGGTGTGCTAAGACCAGTGCTGGGCAAGTTACTTCAAAACTGTAATGCATTATTTATTACTTGTTACCCTCAATTTAAAGTAATTACTTACATTACAATATTACTGATTTTAAAATGTATGGCATTACACTACTTTTGCATTACTTGAAGTAACTTTCATCAGAACAACATCAGTATGAATCTGGTCATGTGACGCTCAGTGAGCTCATGACATATATGTGGAAGGTGATGTGGTGTCTGAGCTAGGGTTGCTGTTAAAAACAGTCAGATATAATAACAGTGCTTTAAAATGATTGTTTATTAAATAAAAGCAACAACAATCTGTACTCTCAGCACGCTGCCATCTTAGATTACCTGAGCAGGGAGTGAGGTGGTGGGGGCTCCAAGCCTATATTATCCTTGGTCCCCAAATGCCTTGATACGGCCCTGGATGTGGGACTGACTTCTGGGGTGATCTGTTTCTATCACATGTATAAATATTAAATGCTTATATGTTATTGCTTTTCACTGGTAAACATGTGTGTTGGGGATAAATCTACCTACTTTTTTCTTTTCAAGCACTTTGATTTGTTTTCTTGATTTTATGTGAATAATTTCCGGCCCTTTCTCTCTCTAACCTTCCTGCATGCTGCATGTTTTCTCCGTCTTCCAGAAAAACTGTTTTCTAGATTTCCTACTTTCTAACTAATCAGCCAAAGGGATCTACCGAATGCAAAAAAATTTAAAAAAAAGCTTCGCGCTGCGCTCCAGCAGCAATGAGTTGAAATCACCGGCGCACAGATTATGAACTCAGCTGAAAAGTACATGAAGTACCAGAGAATATGGGCGGATATAAACGATCGCAAACGAATGACTTTGTTTTGGTGGAGCGATTTTGTGAATATAACAGCGGCCGTGCGCAGGACGCAGCTGGAGTATTTGAGCCGTTACCGCTGCGTCCTCTCTGCTCATAGAATGCCCGCTAAGCTGAGTCCATAAATGACGTCATATATGTGGATACTGGATCTTTTTTCAGGCTTCCCGCAATTTGAATTTTTAGGAAACCCACATCTTGATTCTGGGTTTAAAAATGCGGTTTAATTACCGCGTTACTGACAGTTGTACCGAGTAAATATTACCATTTTCTTTCCCTGTAATGCCTTACATTACCACATTACGGCAAAAAGCAATGCGTTACAGTAATTAATTACTTTTGTACCGCGTTACTCCCAACACTGGCTAAGACCCCTAGTCTCCCTCCACCTGCTCCAATATAGTGTTAATGTGTGTTGATGAGGTGTATTCCATGGCTCCATCAAAAAAAACTTAATTTTTGATAAAAATTTGAACGAAACAGATTGGATTGTATGAAAGGTGTTTCAAACTGCTGTGTCTCATTGACCTAGTTTAGTAACAACATTGTGAAATGATTTAGGATATTTGACTAATTTACCTAAGAGCTATTGAAAAAAAATCCCATAATTTTGGAATAAAATCCTAATAAAAAAGATCAGATTGTGTGAAATGTGTTAGTACTGTTGTGTCTTGTATATGTAGTTCAGTAACACAAGTCAGAAGTAATTTTGAGTCATTTAGGAAATTATTCTGGAAGTTTTTAATTTTTTTGTACTCGTTTACAAAGGACTACAAATTAGTTGATAGTCCCTAAGCGAACCACCGTTCCCATTAGCGAGTCGCCAGAACTCGGGTTACCGCTGTCTGTGCCGCAGTGCACAGCATGAGGACTTATCGCTGACCGTGTAAACCAATATCTGTAAAATATCCAACGTCCAACTTCAAGCTAACTTCACCGCGGTGAACGGTACTTCTGAATTTTATTAAAATTCCGTTGTTTTCCTTTTCTCAATTAAAAACAACTTTGGGAGAGGAGATTATGTGGTGACGTCATATATTTGACGTGCCGATTTCTAGTTTGTAGTCATGCTAATTACGAATGTTTACAAGCTGATAAATCTCAAAGTACGTGACTGGCGTGGCTGAAACACCCATCATTAGTTTCCATTTAAGTTGCAGTACAACATGTGTGTGATCCAGGGTCTAAGGCAAAGCGGATTAGAAAATAGCGTTTTTAGCCCCGCTGACTTGCATTCATTTTTGGTTTTTCCGGGCACCCACGATGCGGAAGTGATTTAGAAAGTCTGGGTTTGGTTACTACATACAGTCCAGTTGCAAGTAGAGGTTCGTGTCTGTGGTGAATCACCTTTAACAGCTCTCTCTTCCTCTCTTCACCGGGGGACATCAAGGACCACATCCCGAAGCCGATGCCCACACAGGTTACCACCGCGGTGGAGGTCAGGACAGTCCGCATCCCGCTCATCCCGAGCAAATAGGAGATCCTGGAGGTGTCTCCGGTTCTGGTCCGAGGAGCAACACACAACTCAAACGAATTTGCTCTTATAGCTTAGAACGCCGCTCCGGTGTTACACCTAAATGCGTCCCTATGGAACTGATGACATAAGGAGTCCTTTGTGTGTGCTTTGCGTATGTGAGGGTTTATTTACAACCTAAACACGTGTAAGTATGACGTTAGGTGGTCAGTATGTGTTTGCCGTGCTGAAAATGAAGAATAGGAAGCCAGGAGTTTTATTGTATTGTCATTGCAGCGAACAGGGGGCGTATTTTGGAATTGTAAGATGTTCAAGGAAGGTCCCGCCTTTCTTGCCTCTGATTGGCTAGGTGGGCTCTACTACGATTGGCTATTTCATTTAGCAGTAAACGTCATCTCTTGCTAAGTGCACTGTCCTCTTACCACCAACAGAACAGCTGGTTTGAGGAATTTATTTATTTATTTTTTTAAAAGAAAATAAGAACTTAGCGCCATTCTTTCCTGTTTTGCTAAAGTTTTTTTTTGTCTTTGATGAAAAAACTGAAAAATGTAAGAAGTGAACTTATAAATCTTGTTGCATTTATCACACTGTGGGACTTACTTTATGTCTATGGCTCTAAAGCATTGAGGTTATCTTATTACAGCAGAGTACATAGGAGAAACTTATGAAATATAATAAAACTGCCCTATTTTACCGTGTGCAGCAGGTCTGTCTCTTATAGAATAATGAAAACTGCTGAAAAATAGGTCTAAATCATAATCAGTTTTGGATGAATTGTTTGAATGCTGTTTCTCTTTATAGTTTATTATTCTGCTTCCGCACGTTTTTCTGGCATTTAACTACTTCCACAATTCTTCAACTATTTACACAATTCTGGTATCAAAACGTTCAGCTCGTTCAGCTTATGCCGGCAATGACTTTTGGTATTAAAATTTTTTATACTTTTTGAGATATTGAGCTTTTTCCGCAATTTTTGGTCCCATTGAAATTAATGGGATTGCTCAATTTTCAGCTAAATTCTATCACTTTTTTGAACTCTTACTCTTATAGGTTAACTTTAACCGAGAGACTTCATTCAAGTTTCAACAAACTCACAAGACTTTCAGCTATTACTGGTTAAAAAATATTTTACATATATATTACAGTTTTTCTAAAATCACAGGTAGAAGTTGAGGTACGGCTTGAGGTTTTCAGAAAAAATCACAAAAAATTTAATGGGCAGAGATAGGAGCAATGACCCTCTTTTGCTCCGTTTCTGGCATTGTCCTGAGAAAACCATTGGTCTGATTGAAATGAGACGCACGCTGACTTGCAGCTAATGGATATACCTTCGTTTTAAGCTATAAATCATGAATGTACTCCAAATGTGGTCGTACGGTTCGTTTGTTTGAGGATATTTAAAGAGCAAGTCAACCCCTACCAGAGTCTAACTCCACTCCCACTTCATGTTTGAAAAATGCAACACATGCTGTTGCCTGGCAGACCGAGAAGGCGGAGCTGCTAACAAATACACACACACACAGGCTCACGACAGAATTGTGACATCATAATGTACCAGTTTACATCATAGCATACCTCTTAGCCAATAGCGGTGGCAGATTTAAATTAAAATACAGTGCAGAGTTTTTTCCTGACAAGGGCACAACACTGCCAGTTTTAGGCAGAATATTTAAATTTTAACTAAGATGCACTGAAGTGCCAAATTATTGACGACACGTGTCTGCAGCACGATTAGACACTCGTTTATTTAGTTTATCAGCAAAAAAAAAGTATATTTGGGGGTGACTTGCTCTTTAAATAACAAAAATGTTTCCCACCACTCTAAACTGAAAATTCCGCAACTTTTGTTTGACCATCACATCTTCTGTGAACAACTCTTTCCAACACCCAGACCGTTTGAAGTACCGAAACAAATCATATCTCAAAAAGTAGGAATTTTTGTCAGCTTTTCAGAATGGGTTTCATTTTGTCCTTAAGTGTTACGATTCTTTCTCTACAAGCCTCAGAAAGAGGAGAGACCCTGATTCTGTCTCATTGAAACCCATGTTAAAGGAACAGAGATTTTCTCCTCCGATCAGCTTCAGACAGCTAAAATGTTCTCGTCATAGCTTCTGGACCAGGGGTGTCCAATCCTGGTCCTGGAGGGCTGGTGTCCTGCATGTTTTAGTTTGAACTCTGTTTCATCACACCTGATTTCAATCAGCAGCCACTTAACAGGCTTCTGCAGAGCCTGATGAGCTGCTGCACAGGTGTTTCAACCACTGAATCAAGTCTGTTGGAGTAGAAAAACCACAAAACCTGCTGGATACCGGCCCTCCAGGACCAGGATTGGCAGTAGCGGTTTTAGGCATGGGCAGACAGGGCAGTTGCCCGGGGCGGCATTTTTTCATGACACAAAAGGGGCACAGAAGCGCTGAGTAAAAAAATAAAAAAGAAAGAAATCTGCGCCGCAACGAGGTTTTCTATTATCTGTCATATGACAGTGTCTGGATTGGAAACAGCAAGTTGGCGCCCCCTGCAGCTGCAGGCGCTCCTGCTGACTGAGAGGGTTCAGGTGCACCGTGTGTGTATGATGAAGAGGAAGGGGAGAGGTGCGGCGGGGGAATTCACCTCTGGGTCTTTCCCAAATGAAATGAGCGGGTAGGGGCTGAATCAACTGTATTAACATGGCTAAAGTCAATCACACCTTGATGTTCTTCCATTTAACGCACATTTCATTCATAATATCATAAACACAGGCCTATCACTCTTTCAGGTTTTTCTGAATTGTGTGAAATGGCCAAATAAAAAAAGGAAAAACAAAACGATTTTGTGGTCACCCCCCCCCCCCCCCCCCATTAAGGTCGAATTGTTTAGTCCTGACTAAAGGAAACTTATTGAGTCAAGAGCCAAACAGAAGAGATGAACATAAAAAGGCTAAAACCACCAGGTGCCCCATTCAGGAATAAAAAGAAAAAAAGAGGAGAAAGATAAAGGTATGTAGCTCTCATGATGCATGTTTTCAATGTTTTGAACCAGTTAACTGGGATTTTAATGGTTACATTCGGTCAGCTAATTGCTAACAGAGCTAATGGGGCTGAAATATTGAAACGAATATTCAAATGGTTCAAAAAAAGTCCTTGAATCGTTTTTTACTGATTCAAACTAGGATTTGTTAAATGCTCGCTGCAGCCTGTGGCCTGCCTGAACAACAACAAACACATGTTGATCATGTTCACATAATAATAAATAAAACAACTCTACAAGCAGAAGAAAACTCCCCAGTCACCACTAACTATCCTGTTTATTTATTGCAGATGGCTGCACTGATTATTTTTTACATGATTTGTTCTGTAAAAGTTGGCATTTTTGGTAGTCTACAGTTTTTTATGTCAGTTTAAATTACAATTTCAGGGGCAATTCTAAAATATTATGGATCATGATAAAGATCTATTGGAGATCTACCCCAACTTTTGGACTGCTCTGCCAGTCACTGTGGCTCAAGCTGAGAGGAGCTTTTCAAAACTTGATCAAGTCATACCTGAGGTCACCTATGTTTCAGGGGCGGCTCACTCACCTGGCTTTGATTAGTATCAATCACTCAGTAGGGGAGCAGATTTCATATGATGACATTATTGATGACTAGTCGTTCTAATAAAACATGCCTGTTTGTAGAAAACAGGCATGTGTTCGTGCAGGTGGGGTGGTGGTGGTGGTGGTGGTGGTGGTGGTGGTGGGGGGGGGGGGGGCTCAAAGGGGGCCTCGCCCGGAGAGTAATTCCATGTAGAACCGCCACTGAGGATTGGACACCCCTGTTCTAGACAATTCATGGTATGCACATAAAAATTCACACAGATGACCATCAAAGCCTTCTGCCGCTCACGCTTTTGAAATTTTCCAATAGGTGCAGCAGTTTCTGAATGGCGATGAGACGTGTCAGAGGTCTGAAATGACATCTGAGCAGCTGAGTTCTGTTAAATGCATGATATATGAAATATTGAAACAAAAATTTCCACCGACCACATCTTTTATAGTACAATAAGGATATTCTCAAATTCGTTAGGTAATTTTGTCCGCTTCGAAGTGCTGTCTTCGGTTTTGCTGTTGGTATTACATTTTTTGTGCTACAATCCCCAGAAGGAGGACTGTGCCAGCTTTCATCTATTTAAACCCCGTTAAAAAGAAGCACCTGTGGCCAAAAGACAGCTGAAAAGTTCTCATCATTTCTTCTAGAACATTTGTTTTAGGCACACAATACTCCACACATGACCATCAAAGCCTTCTGCCGCCCACCCTTTTTGAATTTTACAATTCGGTGCAGTACTTTTCGAATGGTGATGAGAAGTTTGACAGGTCCAATTTCACTTCTGAAGGACAGATTTAAAGTCTTCTCTCATGTTTTGCCAGTCTTAAGGTCACTCTTGAGGACTGTTAGAAGTCCACCAACCATGTCTCTGCCTCCTCTGGTGGCAAGTTGCAGCTTTAAAACAGTCTCAAACCCCTCTCCAGTGGTGTGTATGAGCAAAGGAAATGGCAGTATCCCTCAGGCAGAAGTCGCTTTTCTAATGAATTAAACATAATGTTAGTATATCACTCAGTTTTTCTAAAGGCTAACTTACAGTACACTTTATTTGAACTTTAATACAACAAAGTAACTGGCAGAGGCTTAACCTATCAGCACAACAAAGACCGTTGAGTACCTGCGTCGATGCCTCAGCCAAAACCATTTAATACTGGAGCCGTGCTCTCTGACATAATCCTAACCTCAAGATGATCTGGGATGATGTTCTCCAAGTTCTCCGTAGCACAAACATGACACCAGCGACACCTAACATTCATGGCTGTATAAACACATAATCACACATACACACACGCACAGTAATTATTGCTAGTTGTAATTAACATACACTTGATGTTAATGCACCAATCTTGTTAATTAATTACCATAAAATGAAGGAAATGATCTCTGTCATTCTGTCTGTCTCTCAGAAGCACACGCACACGCACATATCCACTTCTGCGCCACCCACCACCATCACTATTACATTTTTAAAAATTTAATTAATTCAAAAAGGAAATAAGATAAACAAAAAAGGCGAATCAGTAGAAACATTTGAATAAAAAAAACATTGTCTGCCTCGTTTTTATAAAAATATCAAAATCACCAACATTACATTCCTTATTTACCTTTAATATAATTTATGAGACTTTGAATATGACTCCTAAGATTGTTTTTTCACCCTTTGAATGTCCTTCCTATTCATTGTAAATCTATTGTTGGTGGATAACTCTCCATTTAGCTAACGTGGCTTTTGAAAAGCTAATGTTAGCTTTCTCACAAAGACATATTTACCTCTACTCAGATAACCACACCAGAGTGCACGTCAACGCTGCTGCCACACTGTGTGGCAGACAGAGCCCGCGCTGCCGTTTCGGATCGATCGAGCGTCAGAGGCATTGAAGTGTCAGCATGTTAATCAACCATAACTCCTTGAATTCTGACCCGGTTTTGATGTGTAGTTTTTCCCTGCAAACGTCACACATGTAGCTCTGATACAGGACACGTTTTAGTGTTTTTAAAAACAGTGGGTTTGCTGTGGGTACATTTGTGACTCTTGTCCAGAGCTTAGTGTCAAAACTTATAGAAAAAAAGGATCATATAATATACATATAATCAGGGCTGGACTGGGACAAAAATTCAGCCCGGGCATTTTG